GAAGAAGGAGTGAAATTTTTCGAGTAATGAAAATTGAAATTGAGTCTCGAACGAATAGGAGAGAGAGAGAAAGAAAGAGAGAAAGAAAAGGAAAAGAAGAAGGAATGAAATTTTTCGAGTAATGAAAATTGAAATTGAGTCTCGAACAAATAGGAGAGAGAGAGAGAGAGAGAGAGAGAAGAAGAAGAAGAAGAAGAAGAAGAAGAAGAAGAAGAAGAAAAAGAAGAAATGAAATTTTTCGAGTAATAAAATTTGAAATTGAGTCTCGAACGAATAGGAGAGAGAGAAAAGAAGAAGAAGAAGAAGAAGAAGAACGAATGAAATTTTTCGAGTAATGAAATTTGAAATTGAGTCTCGAATAGAAGAGAAAGAAAAAAGAAAAAGAAGAAGAAGAACAAGGAGTAAAATTTTTCGAGTAATTTTTCGAAAATTGAAATTGAGTCTCGAACGAATAAAAGAAAGAGAGAGAAGAAGAAGAAGAAGGAATAAAATTTTTCGAGTAATGAAATTTGAAATTGAGTCTCGAACGAATAGAAGAGAGAGAAAAGAAGAAGAAGAAGAAAAAAAAAGAGTGAAATTTTTCGAGTAATGAAATTTGAAATTGAGTCTCGAACGAATAGGAGAAAGAGAGAGAAAGAAAGAAAGAAAGAGGATAAAGATAAAGAGAAAGATTCGAGAAACAACGATCGAGAGATAAGGTTCCAATCTACAAAGAAGATTCATATTGGGAAGGTGTGCGATAGCACTGTGTGTGCGGAGGATTTCGAGAGAAATTCCCAGGGCCAGTATAAACACACTCAAGTTTTCGGGGATTGAGTGCACCAGCCCGTCACTTGCACGGTCGCCATTCCACAAAGGAATCCCCTCCCTCTAAGTACTTGAGTACAACAACCACCGTCGACTAAGAGTTTGTTGCTGTTTCTTGTTCCCGAAGAGCTCCTAATGCCCGGTGTAAGTTCGTAACGTTGCTTCTCTCCTCCCTACCTCGACCATCTCGTTATTCCAGCTTTCGATAAACACTTTCCAACGCTGTTTTATTATATACCCCATCTTAGGAAACAAGGATGAGCGAGGACGAGTCGAAACACGACTCCCAGCTTTTCCTTATCTTTTCTCCTATCAACACGACCACGATAGAATTTTCCAGGCTATCCGGGAAAAAGATTCCTGGAAAAAGAATTCTAGATAAAAATTCATCGTCGCGTTGTAAAAAATATTTTACGTTCGATAGGGGAAGGTTATTGCTCGGGAAAAAAATTACGAAATCGATACGTTCGTCGATTTTAAAAAAAAAATTTATCCAAAAAAGTTGGATCGTAATAGTTTTCCTTGCAGAAACGCGCATTCCATCGATACGTATTTAGAGCCGCTTGTTGAGTTTATTTAAGGGGAGGTGGTTTCAAACCGAAAAGTTAATTTGGAAGTTACGCTCTGATTACTTCCGTTTTCAGAAACGGTTGATACCAAGCTTGCGAAACTTGCAACCCATCTTCTAAATCTCTGAAAATTTAAATTTCCACGACATAATTCGAGCATTTCAAATTTATAACTGCGAAAAGAAAAATTTCCCTTTCGAAACTTTCCACTCTTCGAAATTTTCCAATCTTCCACGAGCAATTTTATCCAAATCTATATATCATCTCTATACCATACCCTTGAATCGAAACAACGTAATGGAAAAGAAACGAAAAAAAAAAAAAATAGAAGGAAAACTTACACGATTTCATCCGCGAAAAAAGAAAAGAAAAAAAAATCATTAATTCAACGAAACTACAACAAACGACGTTTCTATCTCTATCATATTCAAATGCAGAGGGAGGGAGAGGAAACGCTTTCAAGTGTTCCCGGAGCACGGTACAAAAGATGACTGGCACACTAACCACTGGTCTAGACCATGGAGCACAGACCGTAACTGTAAAAATAATCAACGTGTAGCTCGTCTACTCCCCCGCCGCTAACAACGTAATACCCTGCCCGTTTTACGATGCCTCTTTTGCCGACATTTCAAGCCCTCCTCCCCTCCCCCCTCCTCCGACATCGTGTGCGCGCATCCCCTCACACGTACACGTACGAACGCACACACCAGTATATCCGGCATAACCTCTTGTCGCGGCCCTTTATATCGAACCAACTTCCGCACACGGCCGCAACTTAAATTCCTAGGCTAGCAAAAATTCCAACGGCCAAACGGTGGAATAACTAGCGTGTTGCGTCTATACGTGTATTAAAGTCGTTTGCGCGGAGTTAAAGGCCGAGCCGGCTTCGGGCCAATTTGAAATTTCCTCCGATAACGAGATCAACCATTTCTCTTTTTTTCTTTCTTTTCCTTCCTTTCTTTCTTTTCTCTTCTCCTTCCTTCCCCAATTTTCGTCTCGTGAGCCGAAAACGAGCCTTTTCCTTCCTTCCTTTTTTTCGTGGATTAAAAAATGGATTATAAATGAATTCGCCTCGCTCATCAATTTATCCCGGATAGGATAAACGGGAACGATGCCCGAGAAATTCTCCTTTCTCGTCCATTTCTCGTGTTTGAGATGGAAATAACCGTTAACTCTGTTATCCTGGAACATTTTTATAGATTCGAGTGTATGTGAATAT